AGTTTGCATTAAGAATTCATTTTGTTCCTGTTTAGCTTCAACTCAGCAGCTTTATTTTCAGTTTTCTTCTAGTTCAGTTTTTGAATTTTCTTCCTCATAAACAGTTGAATAAAAACAGGAAATCTGGCTGGTTTGTTCCTCCTGTCGGTGTGATTTTTGTTACTTTCATCATCAGAACTGTACAGTGGCTGAATTTATTGTTTTGACGTTATTGTCCTGTAACAACCTCAAAGCTGGTCAGGGATGCTAAATGTCTGCGAACCAGACGAGACTTTAAATTAGATCAATAATGATCATGTGTTTAAAAGTCAAAATGCTTTGGCTGCTTACATTCAAATGCTGTTAGTGAAAACCAAAAAATGTTATTTATGCATTTATACAGAAATCTTTGCCAAAAATGGAGATTGCTTCATAAATTATTCTCTAATTTTTGTAATTGTTACATAGAAATAAATGTTTGAACCCAAATATAGAAAGAAAGAGGAAGCAATTAAGTAGATTTTGTATTTAATTTAAAAAATGATGAAAAACTTACTAAAAGCACAGGGAGCAGAACAAAAACCATAAATCCAAGGAAGATTTATGGATCAATGTTAGGAAGCATTAGCAGCAGATGTTCAGAGTGACTGTGGAAGCAGGAGCTGCTGATTGGCTGACGGGTTGCAGGTGTGAGGGAGAGAAAGTGGCACAGTGGGCGAGAGAGAACACAGGACAGCAGAAAATAAAGAAACAAGCAGAAATAAAGTAGAATCACTAAGAAACTCATTGAAGCTCCCTGACAGAAACCAGCAGGATTGCTATGCTAACCCTAGCATGTTAGCATGGAGCTAACAGGCTAATCTGGTCCAAACCGGCAGGAGTTTGGAGGAAATGCTGTTTTTTCAACAAGAGGAAGTGAAAGATGTAAAATCTCCAGATCTGTGAAACTGAGGACGTTTGGCAGCAGATGGACAGAAGAAGAACCAAACAGGAAGTGAAGCCAGATCAGGAACCAACTCACATGAGTCCAACTCGAGGCTCGGGGGCCAAATGTGGCCCGCCACAGCTTCTGATGTGGCCCTTTTGGCTCCAGGTGCTAAATTACATCGAGCAGGTCCTGCAGTTCTCTGTGAGGAGGGAACCTCACAGGAAGGCACTGGTTCTGTTTGTACTGGTTCTGTTTGTGATGCTGGTTCTGTTTGTACTGGTTCTGTTTGTACTGGTTCTGTTTGTGATGCTGGTTCTGTTTGTACTGGTTCTGTTTGTGATGCTGGTTCTGTTTTTGTTCTGGTTCCGTTTGTGATGCTGGTTCTGTTTGTACTGGTTCCGTTTGTGATGCTGGTTCTGTTTGTACTGGTTCTGTTTGTACTGGTTCCGTTTGTACTGGTTCTGTTTGTGATGCTGGTTCTGTTTGTACTGGTTCCGTTTGTACTGGTTCTGTTTGTGATGCTGGTTCTGTTTGTACTGGTTCCGTTTGTACTGGTTCTGTTTGTGATGCTGGTTCTGTTTGTACTGGTTCTGTTTGTGATGCTGGTTCTGTTTGTACTGGTTCTGTTTGTACTGGTTCCGTTTGTACTGGTTCTGTTTGTGATGCTGGTTCTGTTTGTGATGCTGGTTCTGTTTGTACTGGTTCTGTTTGTACTGGTTCTGTTTGTGATGCTGGTTCTGTTTGTACTGGTTCTGTTTGTGATGCTGGTTCTGTTTTTGTTCTGGTTCCGTTTGTGATGCTGGTTCTGTTTGTACTGGTTCTGTTTGTACTGGTTCTGTTTGTACTGGTTCCGTTTGTACTGGTTCTGTTTGTGATGCTGGTTCTGTTTGTACTGGTTCTGTATGTGATGCTGGTTCTGTTTGTACTGGTTCTGTTTGTGATGCTGGTTCTGTTTGTACTGGTTCTGTTTGTGATGCTGGTTCTGTTTGTACTGGTTCTGTTTGTGATGCTGGTTCTGTTTGTACTGGTTCTGTTTGTACTGGTTCTGTATGTGATGCTGGTTCTGTTTGTACTGGTTCTGTATGTGATGCTGGTTCTGTTTGTACTGGTTCTGTTTTTGTTCTGGTTCCGTTTATGATGCTGGTTCCGTTTGTACTGGTTCCGTTTGTGATGCTGGTTCTGTTTGTACTGGTTCTGTTTGTACTGGTTCTGTTTGTGATGCTGGTTCCGTTTGTACTGGTTCTGTTTGTGATGCTGGTTCCGTTTGTACTGGTTCCGTTTGATGCTGGTTCCGTTTGTGATGCTGGTTCTGTTTGTACTGGTTCTGTTTGTACTGGTTCTGTTTGTGATGCTGGTTCTGTTTGTGATGCTGGTTCTGTTTGTACTGGTTCTGTTTGTACTGGTTCTGTTTGTGATGCTGGTTCTGTTTGTACTGGTTCTGTTTGTGATGCTGGTTCTGTTTTTGTTCTGGTTCCGTTTGTGATGCTGGTTCTGTTTGTACTGGTTCTGTTTGTACTGGTTCTGTTTGTACTGGTTCCGTTTGTACTGGTTCTGTTTGTGATGCTGGTTCTGTTTGTACTGGTTCTGTATGTGATGCTGGTTCTGTTTGTACTGGTTCTGTTTGTGATGCTGGTTCTGTTTGTACTGGTTCTGTTTGTGATGCTGGTTCTGTTTGTACTGGTTCTGTTTGTGATGCTGGTTCTGTTTGTACTGGTTCTGTTTGTACTGGTTCTGTATGTGATGCTGGTTCTGTTTGTACTGGTTCTGTATGTGATGCTGGTTCTGTTTGTACTGGTTCTGTTTTTGTTCTGGTTCCGTTTATGATGCTGGTTCCGTTTGTACTGGTTCCGTTTGTGATGCTGGTTCTGTTTGTACTGGTTCTGTTTGTACTGGTTCTGTTTGTGATGCTGGTTCCGTTTGTACTGGTTCTGTTTGTGATGCTGGTTCCGTTTGTACTGGTTCCGTTTATGATGCTGGTTCCGTTTGTACTGGTTCCGTTTGTACTGGTTCTGTTTGTGATGCTGGTTCTGTTTGTACTGGTTCTGTATGTGATGCTGGTTCTGTTTGTACTGGTTCTGTTTTTGTTCTGGTTCTGTTTGTGATGCTGGTTCTGTTTGTACTGGTTCTGTTTTTGTACTGGTTCCGTTTATGATGCTGGTTCCGTTTGTACTGGTTCCGTTTGTGATGCTGGTTCTGTTTGTACTGGTTCTGTTTGTACTGGTTCTGTTTGTGATGCTGGTTCCGTTTGTACTGGTTCCGTTTGTGATGCTGGTTCCGTTTGTACTGGTTCCGTTTGTGATGCTGGTTCCGTTTGTACTGGTTCCGTTTGTGATGCTGGTTCCGTTTGTACTGGTTCCGTTTGTGATGCTGGTTCTGTTTGTGATGCTGGTTCCGTTTGTACTGGTTCCGTTTATGATGCTGGTTCCGTTTGTACTGGTTCCGTTTGTGATGCTGGTTCCGTTTGTACTGGTTCCGTTTGTGATGCTGGTTCCGTTTGTACTGGTTCCGTTTATGATGCTGGTTCCGTTTGTACTGGTTCCGTTTGTGATGCTGGTTCTGTTTGTGATGCTGGTTCCGTTTGTACTGGTTCTGTTTGTACTGGTTCTGTTTGTACTGGTTCTGTTTTTGTACTGGTTCCGTTTATGATGCGGGTCACGGCCGGCGCTGGGAGTCGGAGTTCTGGCTCTGGAGTCGGTTAGAAAGTGGCAGCAGAAAGTCATTAGCTGATGCTAATGAATAGCAGCAGCCTGATGTTATCAGAACCAGAGTCTGGATGGGAAACAGTTCATCAGCCCGGTTCTGGAGGACCGGGTCAGGAGGTCAGGGAACTCCCTGTTGGAAAAGCTTAACTAGATTTTAATTTTGCAGCCCAATAGCTTCGGTTGTTTTGGTCAAATTAAAATGCATCACCTTTGTTTGTGTTTTTCTTCAATCCTAGTTTTTTTTGTCATTTTTTTCTGATTCGGTTTGATTTGGAGCAGAACTTCACCATCACACCTCCCCAACAGAACCGGGTCGGGAAACCCGTTCTAGACAACGGACTGGAGTTGGATTACAGTGGATTATTCTGAACTGGGGTGAAAGGTGCAGACATGACACTTGCACCTTTTTGGCCCTGTTGGGGCTCCATACGCTCAGATCCGTCCTTAGTGACAGTGTGAGACATAAACACTCTGCATAGATACATGTGATGTCATCAGGGTCACATGCTCACTCTGGTGGCACAAACACACATTTAGTCTCTGAGTAAAACTGTGTGAGAGACTCAGAGGTCACGCGGCTCCTCTAATCTCGGGGTTCCCAAACTGTGGGTCAGCACCCAGAATGTGGTCCAACATCAGCAGAAGCAACAGAAACCACCAGATTCAGGCAAAACTTCAGACTTTTCACAGGTTTATGTTCATATTTGACCTTTCTGCATAATTTTGGATAAATTGAAACCTAAAAATCTTCCGTTCGACCATCTTCTGGCTGTCAGGGTCCAGATGTGCAAACGTCCTGTTTGTTCCAGGAAGTCCCAACCGGATCAGAAGAACCACAAAGAAACTCTGAATATAATCTCTTTATTTACTCCGTTCAGGAAATATACACAATAGCTCTCTGAAGGTATAAAAATTTGTTTTAAATAAGTAATTATTCTGTTTGATATGTCTGTAAATTCTCATAATTATTAAATGAAACCCTGAAGATGTGAAGCTCCTCCAATCAGGAGCTCAGAGAGTTAGCAGAATGAAGCTGTCCTGCAGGCTGGACCCACGCAACATGGCGTCGGTCTGAGGAGGCGGAGCCACTGGGGAGGCGGAGCCACCGGGGAGGGGGCGGAGCCACTGGGGAGGCGGAGCCACCGGGGAGGGGGCGGAGCCACTGGGGAGGCGGAGCCATCGGGGAGGCGGAGCCATCGGTGAGGCGGAGCCACCGGGGAGGGGGCGGAGCCACTGGGGAGGCGGAGCCACCAGGGAGGGGGCGGAGCCACTGGGGAGGCGGCGCCATCGGTGAGGCAGGTTGAAGGCTTTGGTTGCTGGTTTGGATCCATCTGAGCTGCTCTGGATCCAGGCGTAGAAACGGTTTTTCCTGAGCTGAGGGACCTGAGGAAGGTTGGAGGAAGTGGACCTGGTTCTGGCCGGGTTTGAATCTGGATTTGGTTGAGGAGGAAACCCTGAGGATGGCGGACAGGAAGACCCTGAGGACAGAAGGACAGAAGGTCGATAATCTTCAGACATTTGATCCTGTGGTGATGTTTTCATTCATCACTGAGCCTCTCAGTTTACTGACTATGGAATCAATCGAGTTAAAAACAGAATGAAGGTATATAAGAAACAATAAAATCAAGTCAAAGGAAAATAAGAACTGGTAATGGGCCCAGGTCTGGGCCCACTACCAGTTAAATAACCAGGGAAGACCCAGTTTATGATGTCATGGCTACCAAAGCTTCTGATTGGTCATTTCTCAACACAGGTTGGTACCAAACTGCAGGGCGTTAGTGACCCGGTTACAACGGTTCTGACAGGAGAAACGGGCCGAAAATCCAGCAAACTACAACAAACAGACTCTTCACCAAACACTGAGGGAAACATCCTGCATTTCTTCTTCTACTACTCTCCTGTTTCCATTATTTGCTGTTATGCAGCGTTCTGATTGGCTGTCCTGGACGACACCGGCTGACATGATGCTGCTTCACCAAATCCTTTTCACTCTCCTGGTCTTAACTCTCACTGTTCTCTAGCAGAGAACTGAGCCCGGTTCTGGTTCTGCTCTTAAAGGGGAAGTTTTCCTCTCCACCGTCGCCTCATGCTTTTAAACCAATAGGAATATAAACCCAACTTACTGCACTGTCTGTTTATGGAAACATCTGGTTTGGTAAATTTATCTGATGTCTCTAGTTTGTCTCAGACTTTAACCAGAGGAAACGTCTGATAACCAGATTCTGACCCGGTCCAGATATCAGTGAGGAAATAAAATAATAATCCCGTGATTCTGCCTGGACTCATCAGGAATCCATGTTTCCCTGCTGCACACTGGTTTCCTGACTGGTTTCCTGACTGGTTTTATCTGATGCAGACTGGCTGACTGTTAGCTGGAGTTTCCAGAGGAGCTGATTCAGGCGATTTTTTAGCTGCTGCTAATTAGAGAATGTTGAAGCACAGAGAATTATCTATCTGCTTCAAAGTCCTGCAGAGATGCTGTGTGTGTGCGTGTGTTGGTGTGTGTGTGTTGGTGTGTGTGTGTGTGTTGGTGTGTGTGCGTGCGTGTGTGTGCGTGTGTGTGTGTGTGACATCGGCCTCGATCAGCTGCAGATTATCAGAATTTTCTAATTATTAGTAGTAATTAAGACACAGTCATGGATTATGAGGCTGAATTCTGAAGACGCTGCTGCAGACGCAGAGAGACAATGCAGAGTCCATCACTGAGTGTGTTCAGCAGCGGTGGGGGAGGGGCAGCGAACAGAACCACTCACTGGACCCGGCAGACTGTTTCTGCATCAATATTATAAATTCTTTAATTAATGATGTTATTGAAGGTATTCTGCTGATTTCAGGCACGATTTTCCTCACAGTGGAACTTTTTATAGTTTTCAGACAAAACTTCAGTAACTGAAGGTGACGGACAGAGTCGAGCAGAACCGTCTGCTGCAGCAGAGACACGAGATGGAACCAGAACCAATGAGATGGAACCAGAAGAACCAGTTCATGTCTCCCAGTTAAAGCAAACGACCTGTTGAGTTACCAACATCAGAAATGAAGTTCATCTGCTGTTCATCCCTCATGTTTGTTCATCTTCTTCCTCTGATGTGTCTCCCTCTCCCCCCAGCGTCTTGCTGCCCCCTGCTGGCCGTTTCTGGTTCAAACCCAGGCTGCTGGCTGTAATCACTCCTCCACTCTCACAGCCTGTTTTAGCACAGCAGCTAACATGTAGCTAATCTGCATCAACATCTCCACAGAAAACAAAGAGTAACACACACACACACACACACACACACACACACACACACTGACAGCAGTAACATCCTGACTAGCTGATGTGTTGCTGACAGATTGAGTTTAAACTGTTTTATGGTCTTAAAGAACCGATCCATGTGCCAGAGACCGGAACAGGCCCGATTTTACGTAGGGCGCGCGCTAGCACACACCGCAGCACGCTAAGCAGAAATAAAATGTTTTTCATACCAGGTCTGATTTCAATAAACATTCTTAGTGAATTTTTCCAAAAAGTCAGTTATGACAGAAAGTAAAGTTTCATTCATCTCTTCTCAGAGCTGAAGAACGGAGATATTATCAGAATATTGTAAAATATGAAATTTTACCAAAAAATGCTTGTAAGATTACAACTTTATTCTTGTATTATTCTGATTTCATTGTCATGTGATCTTATTAATGGTCAACTTCCAAAGAAACAAGATGGCCGCCGTGAAACTAAGGAGTCTTGCTCTCAAACTGAACATTTAAGATGTTGCTTTGATCGGATGCTGGATTCTTTCTGTTTCTCTCCTTCACCTGCCCTGCCTCGCGGTTACCATGGTAACCAGGTGGCCCCGCCTCACCTGTCCGTCTTTAGGCCGTCTTTCCCTGCAGCAGTTCCCGGGAGTTTTCGGCGGCTCTGGCCAGGCCGTCGGCTGTCAGCGCCTCCTCCAGGCTGCGCCGGGCCTGGAACACCTTCAGCTCCTGATCCCTGCCCAGAACACAGAGCCGGGTCAGAACCGAGCCGCTCCAGAACTTCTGCTTCCTCATCAAGAACCGTTTCCTTCTGGTTCTACATAAACCAGATCATCGGGATTTATTTAACAAACATGTGGAAAATCAGTTCAGATTCTGATCAGGAATCAGTTCAGTGTTTGAATTTCTTCAAAGAAATGAATCTGTTCAGGACGAGGGAACAGAGTCCAGAATCTGTTCAGAACGAGGGAACAGAGTCCAGAATCTGTTCAGGACGAGGGAACAGAGTCCAGAATCTGTTCAGGAGTTGGTTTAGAATCAAGACTTTCTCAGAGTCACTTCGTTCATTTTGGGGGAATCTGTTCAGTGTTACTGGACCAGAGGGCTGATGCGAACAGAACCAGAACCAGCAGAACCACAGACCAGAATGTTCCTGCTTTAATTCACAAGAAGAAGAAGAAACACAAAGAGGAAGAGGAATGGGAGCAATTTGGGATGACAGGCACATTCAGCCGGAGAGACGGAGAAAGAATGGGAAATTAATGGAGGGAAGAGATAAAAAATGAGGAGGAGGGAATACTGCTGGAGGGAGAGAGGAGAGGAGGAGGAAGATAAGGATGTTTCTGGAAAGGAGGAGGAAATGAATGGAGGAAAACAGGAGGAGGAGAGGAAGCATCTGGAAAGAGGAAGATGGATGGTGGGAGAGAGAGAGAGAGAGAGAGAGAGAGAGAGAGAGAGTTGGGAAGAACAGGTGATGAAGGATCTACTGATGGGTTTCACTGATTCTGCTCCCACAGCGCCCCCTGCTGTCTGCCTGCAGGAACAGCAAACCACCAGCAGATCCCTGCTGATCCCAGTATTCCCAGAGGAACCAGCTGAGTCATCCCAGTTGTTCCACAAACCACTTTAAACTGTAGGATTAAACTTTCATTCATGTTTCAGTTTGGGCCTGGTTCTGATCCGAACCTCCAGGTTCAAACATTTTCAAACTCCACAGACTCAACTTCCCAGAATTCCCAGCGAGTTTATTGTGTTGATCATTTCCCAGCCTAATCCTGAAATTGGTCCTGGGATCAGAACCTCAGCGGATCAGAACCTCAGCAGATCAGAACCTCAGCGGATCAGAACCTCAGAGGCTCAGAACCTCAGCGGATCAGAACCTCAGCGGATCGTCCGGTCTCAGAAGAATCTTGATTCCAAACAGATTCCTGCTTTGACGGTTCTGGAGGGTCCCTGGATGACCCGGTTCCTCACCGGATCTGCTCGTCCGTCACGGTGAAGGTCTTGCAGAGCGGCTGGGTCGTGTTCAGCCAGATGGCCGGGTTCTTCTCGGCCGCCGCCGACGTCTGGCCCGTGATCGGCGCCGAGCTCATGTGCAGGGCGCTGGCGATGGCCGACAGCAGGACGTCGTCGCCGGAGTCCGGCCCGATGCCTGCGGACAGGAGAGGTCAGGGGTCGGAGGTCGGGGGTCGGGCCGGGTTCTGCTGGAGGTTCGGGTTTTACCCTGCAGGCCTTTGGGCAGGTCCATGCTGCGCAGAACCTGCTCTGTGATGTCTGACGACCGCAGACCCGTCAGACGCTTCTCCCAGAACAGCTGCAGAACAAAGACAGGCAGTGAGCCGGACCAGAACCAGAACCAGAACCAGAGATCAGAACTTCTGCTTGGTTCTGGTGGTCATAATGTTCTGCCTAATAATCGCCTGTGCTCATTGGTCGTCTCTTCTCAGGGCTGATTCCTGATTGGCCCTCCTGCGCCGGTGGCAGCTGGTTGCCATGGCGACCCGGGCCCCGCCCTCGGCTCCACGGCTTCAGGGGGGACTGGTAACTGGTAACGGGGGTAACCTTGGTAACGGGCTGTTTGAAGATGGACGCCGTCTGTCTGATGGGCAGAGCCGTGTTCAGGTCCGGTTTGCCTCCCTGCAGGGAGACAGAAACAGGTTGGGGCCGGTCTCATTCATTCATTCATTCATTTAGCATGAACTAATCGCCGTGGCAACAGCAGGAAGTTCCTGGGTCATGATGTGAACAGATTCATCTGATGACCTGCAGAAGCCCCGCCTCTCTATGACCCCACCGCTTATAACCCCGCCCCTCCACAGCCCCGCCCCCTCACAGCCCACCCCCCACCCCCTCACAGCCCCGCCTCTCTATGACCCCGCCCCTCTACGGCCCCGCCCCCTTAAACCCCTTCCCCCTTATAGCCCCACCCCCACATTCCCCGCCCCCTCACAGCCCCGCCCCCTCACGGCCCCGCCCCCTACCTTGGCCAGGTTCTGAGCGTCGTGTCGGAACCGCTGCTTGTTCTTCTGCAGTTTTCCGGGCATCATCTTTCCGGTCCGGAAGTCGAAGCAGGCCAGGTCCACGGCGTTGCCGAGGTAACGGGCCAGCTGCGGCTTGCTCCGAAACTTTTTCCCTGTCGGACTGAAGGAGACGGGAGAACCGGGTCAGGACCCGCAGGTTCTGACGGGTCCAGCTCAGTCTTAATCTGCTGCAGATTGGGTCCGGGAGAGGTTTAATCGATTATTGATTAATCGGGAGCCAGAGCTGCCAATTGCTCATTTATTAGCATCTTTAACGTGTTTCCATTCAATCCATCCAGTTTCTGACCCTTGACCCCGGTCTCCAGCCAACGTTCTGGATGAGAGACACATCATGCACTGGGAATCGAACCCAGAACCTTCTTGCTGGAAGGCAAACAGTGCGACCGACTGCACCACTGTGCAGCCGAATCGTGTTTCTAAAGTTGTATTAAATGTTTCAATTAAAAATGTTTTATTTGCAGCCAGAGTCTAAACTGGGTCAACAGAACCAAGATCCACAACAGCTGAAAAAGAAAATAATCCAGCTGCCTTAATGGCCTAGTTAAAGTCCTGATGTGAGACGGATGCTGAGGTGGGGGGCTCTCCACTGGGAGCCACTGGGAGCCACTGGGAGCTCTGGGCTCAGACTGGAGCTGCTCTTCCAGTAAGTTGCTGACTGACTTCCTGACGAGCTGATGAGTCACCTCCCGACCCGACCCAACCCGACCTGAAACTCAGCCTTTCAGGAAGTGGCGGAGCCGGCGGCGGCGGCGCCCAGCAACAGGAAGCGCCGGCGGGCGGCCGCTGCCTCGCCGCAGCGCAGGCAGCCCTGCAGCGGGAGCCACTTCCTGTGACCTCAAGCTGCAGCAGAGAAGCTGCAGGCCTCTGACCCCGACTGCTGATGCATGATGGGAAAAGTCCAGACTGGTTGAGGGCAGAGCAACAGGCTGACTGAAAACAGGTGCAGTTGTACCAAACCTTACCACTAGATGGCAGCGTGCGTGACGGCCTGTCCCTTTAAGAGGGTCTGGAGGAGATCTGGGTTTGGTCGTACATGTGAGTCGGGTTCCTGAGTTCTTCTGGGTCAGCTGTGGTTCTGGACCTGGAGCCCATTATCTCTCAATCTTATTGTTGAATCATGACCTCTGACCTTGACTGAGCTGGTGAGGCCTGCAGTTCTAGATGCTGTTTCAGTTAGCATGATAAATACTTAGCATGCTAACTGTAACATATGCTAACTGAACATTTGACATCAAGAATCAAAGGATGAGCCGTTTTAGAGGCAATACAGACGTTTACCAACAAACAGAACGGATTCATGCTAACCACCAGGATTTACATTCAAGTTCTCAAGACCCTGCTTTTATTTTGACAATCCACTTCCACTTATCAGTAAGAAAATTTGCACATTAGCTCAATATTTAATTCTGCTAGCTAAACATTCCGTTTGTGTACTAAGAGTTTAGCCAACTTGGAGCTAATGAAATATTTTGCAAGCTCAAAATTTATTTAGTTCAAAGCTAGACTGGAGCTCAATACTTGTGCTGAGTTAAATATTTAGCTATTAACTAAATATTTAGCTTGCTAAGTATTTAGTTAGTTAACTGAATACTTAGTTTGCACAAAGCTAAACAAACACTTAGCAATCTCAAAGCTAAATTAGATTTAAATACTGAGCTAAATATTTATATTTATATTAGTTTGTAGCTTCCAAGTAAATATTTAGCTTGCTAGCTCAATATTTAGTTTAAAACTGGGACATTAATAAATGACAATCTGTTTTTCTCTTATGAAAGGCTGAAAACACTAATTATGACAGTTCATGTCTGACAGTGACTAACAGCTCCATTTAATAAACCAAATTTTGTTCATCCTGTTCAATCAGAACGTCAAAGAGTAAATAATAAACCAGAACACAAACCGGGCCGGCCCCTGCTCCGACCCGGCCCCTGCTCCGACCCGGGCCCCTGCTCCGACCCGGGCCCCTGCTCCGACCTGGCCCAGTTCCTGCTCCGGCCCCTGCTCCAGCCCGACCCGGGCCCCTGCTCCGGCTCGGCCCCTGCTCCGACCCGGTCCCTGCTCCGACCCGTCCCAGGCCCCTGCTCCGACCCCCCCTGCTCCGACCCGGGCCCCTGCTCCGACCTGGCCCAGTTCCTGCTCCGGCCCCTGCTCCAGCCCGACCCGGGCCCCTGCTCCGACCCGTCCCTGCTCCGACCCGTCCCAGGCCCCTGCTCCGGGCCGGTCCGGCCCAGCTCCTGCCTACTTCAGGCTGTCAGTCGGCTCCAGGGTCAGGTAGTGAGTGGGCCTGAAGGTAAATGTGAATTCATTACTGATCTGGGGTGTGAATACTTTCTGTCGGGTCCTCAAGCAGAACTCTGAATACTTTCTCAGAGTTCTGCTCGTTGGCTCGGTTCTAGAAATGAATCATTCTGGGCAGAACCGTCCTGGACTGGGTCAAATAATCCGGGATTAGGCTGGATCAGAGCAGAAGTTGCTGGAATGAAGTGAAAGCAAACAGAACCTCGGAACCGGCCGGCCCAGTCCCAGTACTTCCCGTCAGTTCCAGTAAACAACTGGTTCTGTGGAAAAACACTCCCAGCGGGACATTTCTGGAACCGCACAGCTGGTTCCCATAAACACAATGCACTGCTGAGAGTAGGGCGGCTCGGTTCGGCCAGCAGCGGCTGGTCCCGAACTGATGGATCACCTGTAGTAGTAAACGTCGCTCTTTCCGGCGCTCAGCCCGGACTTCCTGATCACTTCCTCCTTCTTCCAGCCGGGCGGCAGCGCCGGACAGTCCGTCTTCTTCCTCTCCATCAGCGCGGGGCTCCCGGTCCGGATCGGTTCCGCTCAGTCCCGGACAAACAGGCGGCGCGCCGAGCTCAGGCTGACCGACGTCACCAACGTTAACGGCAGCGGTCCCTCCCCGGTTCGGCTCCTCTCGGCTTCAACTCGGCCAGAAAGTGAAACCCGGCTCGGACAGTTCTGCGGCCCGGGAGGTCCGGACTGGATACGAGGTTCGGTTCCGAGTGTTCGCGGGGAGAACCGGTGGGTCACAGCAGCTGAACTGGAGCTGAACCGGACCAACGGCAGACTGTGACGTATCAGTCGGATCGCACTTCTACCGCAGGCTCACGCCCGAAGATCGTCTGTTGCACAAGATGACTCACTCCTGACTCAAAAATGTCTGAAACTACAGAACGTTGACAGTTCCGGGATTTACCCTAATAGTATTTCCGCCTGAATAACCAATCAGAAAGCAGAATGCAAAGAAATGGCTGAGCTGAGAATGAAGTTAAAAACAGACTTTAAGTGACATGTATGTGTGTAGTTGACAAATAAACTGCAATAAAAACTGTTTGTGTTTTATGTATTAATTTAATTCTCTTTTCTTGCTGTTTTCTGTTTCCATATGGATCATATATTGTGTACAAAAATTAACTTCTAAACACGTGTATTCATTTCGATCTGATATTGAAATTATGTCTGTTTCATCAATTTGCAGAAATTGTTTCTGGCACAATTTAGAACAATTTGGTTTTTTTCTAAATAATCATAAAAAGGGCAACATTACTCCTTCATTATTTCACATTCATTCTGTTCAAACTCAAAGACATTTGAAAGTTGCTTATTTGTCAAAACGTTCCGTGATTTATCAGAGCAAGACGTGATTTTTATTTTACACTTGAGAAAACAAGAACTTCATCTACCCAGAATGCATTGCGGCAATTTCGCTGTTTCAATGTTTTATTTAATTTCATAAAGCTAATATTTCTTATTTTCAATATTTCTTACTGCGGTATTTTACATCTGGAATAAATGTTTTCCAGATAAACTCGTTAGTATCTGCAGAGCGGAACTGGCGCAGTCTGAGTCGTTTTGGCGCTAATTAAAAGGCGCAAGGAGGCTCCAGCAGCGCCTGCCCGGGGATCCTGCTGCCACAGATTACTGGACAATTAATGGGTCAATTCTGTCACAAGGATTTGATGTGATGGATCAGAACTCTGACCTCTGTTGTTGCTGTTTGGCTGTAAATGAACCTGCAGCTGCTGACGCTGCAGGCCGAGAAGCTGGACTGGTCCTTCAGCCCAGGGTGGCCAAATTACTGCCAGTTCAAAATTCACATCACTTATTAACAGAAGAAAATGGAAAACTAGAAAAGAAGTCATTTGGAAAATAAACTTGTTTCAGGGGCACAAATGCTGGACAGTCACTGAACCACATGTAAAAATCAACTTAATTTCTAATTTATCTTCACTGATTTAAACTTAAGTTTATTGAAATTTTGATCTTAAGAGTGAAGTGAAAAAAATTCACTAGTCCTTTGTAAAAGTTATTCAATATAAATCTTAAATACTTACTGTAGATATTAAATGTATATAAAGTGGAAACATTTTCATGTTGAGCTCAAAGCTGGTGTAAAAACAGGAGGTCTCACTTCAACACACATTGTCAGTGTTTGGTGCTTTTTGATCTTCAGTGAATTTATTCAGGAATTTTATTTAAAAAGTTTATAATAAGTGAGTTTTAAAGTTCCTGCAGTGAGTTTTTGGTTGAACCTGGACATGGAGGCAGAGACTGGAGCGCTTTAAACACAAATGTTTTATTCATGATTTTAAAGCAAATGTTTCATTCATGATTGTAACAACTAAAAGGAAATGATGTGTAACAGCAGAGAGTAAACAAAGGAATCATCAGAACAGGAAGCGGAGCTGAAACTGCACAGGAAACAGGAAGCATCATGATCTGGAGTTATGCGACGGATCAGAACATGATGTGGAATGTCTTTCGGCCGGCGCTAACCGCGCTAAGGTAACCGCGCTAACATCTAGTACTCCTCCCCTCCTCGTCCTCGCCCTCCACCGAGTCGACCCCCACCTCCTCGTAGTCCTTCTCCAGGGCGGCCATGTCCTCCCTGGCCTCCGAGAACTCGCCCTCCTCCATGCCCTCGCCCACATACCAGTGGACGAAGGCCCGCTTGGCGTACATCAGGTCGAACTTGTGGTCGAGGCGCGCCCAGGCCTCGGCGATGGCCGTGGTGTTGCTGAGCATGCAGACGGCGCGCTGCACCTTGGCCAGGTCTCCGCCCGGCACCACGGTGGGCGGCTGGTAGTTGATGCCCACCTTGAAGCCGGTGGGGCACCAGTCCACGAACTGGATGGAGCGCTTGGTCTTGATTGTGGCGATGGCGGCGTTGACGTCCTTGGGCACCACGTCGCCGCGGTACAGCAGGCAGCAGGCCATGTACTTGCCGTGGCGCGGGTCGCACTTCACCATCTGGTTGGCGGGCTCGAAGCAGGCGTTGGTGATCTCGGCCACCGTCAGCTGCTCGTGGTAGGCCTTCTCGGCCGAGATGACGGGCGCGTAGGTGGCCAGCGGGAAGTGGATGCGCGGGTACGGCACCAGGTTGGTCTGGAACTCCGTCAGGTCCACGTTGAGCGCGCCGTCGAAGCGCAGCGACGCCGTGATGGACGACACGATCTGGCTGATGAGGCGGTTCAGGTTGGTGTAGGTGGGGCGCTCGATGTCCAGGTTGCGGCGGCAGATGTCGTAGATGGCCTCGTTGTCCACCATGAAGGCGCAGTCCGAGTGCTCCAGGGTGGTGTGGGTGGTGAGGATGGAGTTGTACGGCTCCACCACCGCCGTGGACACCTGGGGCGCCGGATAGATGGAGAACTCCAGCTTGGACTTCTTCCCATAATCCACCGAGAGGCGCTCCATCAGCAGGGAGGTGAAGCCGGAGCCGGTTCCGCCGCCAAACGAGTGGAAGACCAGGAAGCCCTGCAGGCCGGTGCACTGGTCAGCCTGCGGAGAAACAACCGGGTCAGAACCAGGCCAGAACCCGCAGCTGCTGCTGCTTCAGGCCGTCAAAATGACGAATGATGTTAAAACGGTAAATCAGAGCACAAGTTTGACATCTTCTTCAAGTAACGCATGATAATGGCATGATGATTTAAAAAGATTGAAGCCGGGCTGGCCGAGGAACGCCTCGGCTTCCCAGGAAGAGCCGGAGGAAGTCTGGGCCTCCTGAACCCGGATACGCACGAGAAAATTGATAAATGGAACATTCAAATGAGCTCAATTTAAAATACATAAAAAAATAAAATTATTTATAAAATCTCCAGATGGAAGAAGTCTGAAGACTTATCCAGGTTTTGTTGCGACCGGCCTAGTTCAAGCACCATGCAGCTGAACTCACCAGTTTACGGATGCGGTCCAGAACCGGGTCGATGATCTCCTTGCCGATGGTGTAGTGGCCGCGGGCGTAGTTGTTGGCAGCGTCTTCCTTCCCGGTGATGAGCTGCTCAGGGTGGAACAGCTGGCGGTACGTCCCGGTCCGAACCTCATCTATAAAAAATATATTAAAAATTAACTCCTGGGTCAATTTATTTACATTAATAAAACCTCAAGTAACTTTCATTTAAGATATAAAACATAAACAGTCACAATGTCATGAAAGTATGAGACAAAATCTGTGAAAATGAAAATTGAGCCACTCTGCTTCTCCCAGTGCCAACTAGGACAACCAATCAGAGCTGGGGGGTGTGTCTTAAAGCTGTCAATCACCATGTAAAAAACTATTTTTCATCTAGGAGTTACTGGAGCTTTTGGCCATGAAGTTTGATATTTACCGATGACGGTGGGCTCCAGGTCCACGAACACGGCCTGGGGACGTGCTTCCCGGCGCCGGTCTCACTGAAGAAGGTGTTGAAGGAGTCGTCTCCCCCACCGATGGTCTTATCGCTGGGCATCTGTCCGTCCGGCTGGATGCCGTGCTCCAGGCAGTACAGCTCCCAGCAGGCGTTCCCGATCTGGACGCCGGCCTGGCCGACGTGGATGGAGATGCACTCACGCTGCGAACGCACAGAAAAACAGCTTCACGTTAAACTACAGGACTCAACAGAAAACCAGCTGATAAAGGCTGCGATGATATAAAAACTGATTTTTACTTTCTATTTGCAAAAGAGCTGCTGCAGAATTTATACTTCAACAGTATGCATTATCTTTTGAATAAAAATGTTTTATTCAATAATTTATTTTTTTTACATCTTCATCTATTTTGTCCCCTCCTAGTTCTGCTTTGTTGACATTGAGCTCTTTTCACTAATGTTGATTTTGAACCTTCTGTTTACTTACTGACAGATTTATAATCCTGATCAAAGCAACAACAAATATTTTATTCATAATCTCTGAAACGATTTAAATACAAACTAAACATTCGTGAAAGTCTGCTAAGGTTCAATGAAATAGGCGGCCAAGTGGAATAATTTAATAAAATGCACGTTTTTAATTTAACAGTAAAATAAAAAGCGGGAAAATACAGCAGCTTAAATTTAAACACGGCGCTCATTCCGTTTTGATTGGCTGTTGCTCTCCGTAGCCCCGCCCCCTGCTCCCGGAGGAAGCGGTTCCGTCCTCCGGCCCAGCTCCAAGTTGGCGCTGGTAGAACCTGGTTAGCGGTGCTAACAGAACCGACCGAGCCTGAGCAGCAGCAGCAGCAGCACCAGGCCCGGTTCGGAAGGAGAAATCCCAGAGTTATAATTAAATGACGCCGCGGTATTCAGACGGTCTCTCTGATCCCGAGCACGTGACCCTCAGGATTTACGGCGCGCGCTGAAACCGTTAGCGGTTCCTTCATCTGTTTGAAAGTGCGCAGTGACTGACTGACGGAAAAAACCATCAAATAACGCCCAGAAGATATACCATCCCACTCAAAACCTATGTTTGAAGGAAAAGCCCGGGCAACTAACGACTGATATCGGTTTGTAAACCAAAGCGCGTCGCAGCGGTTCTGAACAGTTAAAAGGATACTTTTAGTCCCACGGAAAAAATCCGGTTGACCTCTCCTGAATTTCCTTTATCAGCATACATTCCGATAAAAATACCTTCTTAAGCTTTTCCAACAATTCTTACCATTCTGTGTAGTTGTTTATGAGGTAAACTTCAACAAAAAAGCCTCGAAGGGGGCTGAGAGTCTTACGGATCGACTGTTATGCGGTCGAAGAAAGACAAAATGGAGACATGCAGGCGGTTCGCGCCGCTTTATGTAAGGTACCATCAGGCCCGAGGGGGTTGGACTGAACCACTGGGCGCCGGGGGGGGGATTAAAACAGGGCTTATTTATGAGGCCCACAGGTTCATAAAACCAAAACAAACTGAAA